GGCTGGAGGAGGCGGCTGGGGGCAGACCGGTCTAGGGCACTGAGACAGGAGCGCAGGAGCTCTGGGGAAGCACAGAGTCTGCGCCAGAAGGGCCCTGGGTTTCGGGGAGACGGAGCTGCCAGCGCACCCTGAGGCTAGTGAGCGACAGAAAATCCAACTAGACTCTTGCTCGGGAGCCCAAGCTTTTCTCAGAGATGTCTTGGAGAAAGTTCAGTGGGCCCTTTCTGCCTGAGCCCACACCAAGTGGCAGATGTCGGGAAACCCTCCCGGGTGGTCCAGGCAGCCTCCGGCAGCAGGAGGGCCCAGGTGAGCTGGGCTTCGGCTTATCCCTGGACCCCTAGGCCGCTCTCCAGCGCTCAGGTTCCAGGGGGTCTGGTTTGGGCGCTCAGGGCATCCTTTTCTCTCTCCTCTTTCTTTGCTTCTCTCGTTTCCTTCAGCCCCACACCGCGACCCTGTGCTGATGCCTTCTCCTTTCTTAGCCAGTGTTCTCATCTGAAAGGGGAGTGATAGGTCCCTGCCTTGGAAGTGACAGCTCTTTGCTTCCAGTGTAGGCATTTGCTTTCCTTTTTTTTATTTTCTATCAGATCCACACCGGATGTGCGTGGTTTGAGGTGTCTTGTGCCTTTTACCAACTTGCTCCCAACTCAAAAAAAGGCTGACCTCTTCAGGAAAGATTTTCTTCAAATATGCAGGTGGTTTGCTCCTTCCCCTTCTCTCCTCTCCCCTTCCCTCCCCTCCCCTTTTCCCCCTCTCCTTCCTTCCCTTTTTCTTCTCTACGACCCACCAGGGAAAGTTGATAAGCCCAAATCCAGCGATTATAGCTAAAAAGGTCTACTTGTCTAATACTCAACAACGCCGAGTTGACTGGGGTCTGGGCCAAACCATAACAAAGCAGGTGGATGCAGATGAAAAGCAAAAAACACAAACAAGAGAATTCCATGACGTATTCCGGATCCATTTTATTTGAAGGCCTGAAGCAAGCGGGTCACTTCCAGGCTGCAAGGAAGTGTCACCCACAGATTGTGACATGAAAAGCGCAACGTTTCTCCATGTCAAGGGCCAGGGGGAGAGGGTCCTTGGATAACATCAGCCCTGACTTATACCGAACCTAGTGGGGAAGGAGGCTTTGCAAGAAGGAGTGTGCAGAGCCAGGCCTTGCGATGCCCGGTCAGTAGGCAAAGTGTTCGCAGGCAGACAGTGGACAGGCGGACAGGCGTGTGTGCCCTCTCCAGGTCAGATGCCTCCTCTGGGCTATGTCTGGGATGCTTGGGTCAGAGCAGGTCCAGACAGGCAGGCGGGGAATGCGGTCTGCAGGGGAGCTGCCCAGAGCAGCCACCTCCTTGGACCCTCTGTCTTAGGGCTTAGAGCTTCTGGAGACGCAGTGGGACAATGGGTGTGGGTGAAAGAGTAAAAAAGCTTGAGGGTGACTGGGGCAGGGGGTGAGGGGCATGGGAAGGGGGTGGGGCGAGAAGCTGACTCGGTTCTGGAGTAAGTACCACCTTTAATCCTGCTCTGGGCCTGAGCGTTAGAGGGCCTTGTTTTGTCCATTTCCAAGAGCGCCAAAGGTGGGGAATCTGAAGAGCCGAGGAACGCACTCCTCTGCATTAGTTGTTCTTCACGTGGTTTCCCCAACCCGCGGAATGGCGTCCTCTGAAATGCAGATCCTGGGCCTGCCACAAAGCGCTTGGACTCAAGAGAATGTACATTTTAAAATATATATTTTATTGATTTTTCTATAGAGAGGAAGGGAGAGGGATAGAGAGAAACATCAAAGAGAGAGAAACATGCATCAGCTGCCTCCCTGCATACCTCCTACCGGGGATGTGCCTGCAACCAAGGTACATGCCCTTCACTGAAATCAAACCTGGGACCCTTGAGTCTGCAGGCCGATGCTCTATCCACTGAGCCAAACCAGCTAGGGTGAGAATGTGCATTTTTAGCAACTTTCTGTGGGATACATTTAGCAGGTAGAAGGTTCCCAGCAGATTCAGTGTTTGTTTGTTTATTTATATACATTTTGAATCTATAAACTTAGTGGTTGGAGAGCTATACTCTGTAGGGATATACAGCCATGGAGTTCTTGCCCAAATAGCGTGAGCTCATCTCCCGGGCCTGCAGAGCCTCTATCAGACCTGTCTTTGTGAGAGTGTGTCACAGCTCCGAAGGCTGCCGCCTGGGAGCTTGGACCTGCGGGTGAGGGTGTCCACACCATGCAGGTGAAGTCCCTCATGCCATGGGATGGAGCCGGTGTGGGAGGAGAAGGAGTGGGGCACAGGCTTAAGCCCTCATCTGCACTCTCTCCCACGCCCCAGGAAGAGTGAGTGCCCGTGGTTGCAGCATCTCTCTCTGTAGTTAATACTTCCTCTGTTCTGACCACTTCCGAGGACCAGAGAAAGGCAGGCTGACCCTTGACTAGTCTACCTTTAAAAAAAAAAAAAAAAAAGCAAACCAATATGATCTCTCCATATTGCACTCGAGAGAAACAAATCATCCTTTATATCCGCCTAATGTCCTCCAGTCATTGACACACTCTCCCTGCAAATACACGTCCCTGATACCCTGGCAGGTACTGGTTGTTTTTGAGATCCTTGTACCTGGGCTGGAATGGGGAGGCAATGGGGCAATGAGGCTCAGGGGCTAAATCAAGCATGTCAAACTCAAAGGCTCGCAATAGCCAAATAAATGAGGCATGTGCCCCCGCCCCCCCCGCCCCCAAACCCCACCCCTTGCCTCGAGTTTGACATGCTTGGGCTAAATGTTTCCACCTTGGGATTAGATAGACCTAGGGCTGGATTCCAACCTCACCACTGACTACTAGTTGTCAGACTTTGGAAATGAACTACATGTCTCTAAGCCTTGAGTTTCCCGTCGGCAGAACGGGAGCTGTTCTGTGCTTGTGGATAAAGTAAGGATGAAAAAAGATGTCAGCCGGCCCTCAGGACATGTAGCTGGCGCAGGAAGTGTCTTGGGTTTGTCCCTCTCTCACCACACCCTTGGGGACATGGGTTTCTTTAAAGGAACAGAAGAAAGTGTGCTGAATCCCCACCGGTTCTCATGTGACCCTGGTCGTTTGGAAGGTCTCGGCTTCTATAAATCAGCTGCCTCCGGGAGGGAGCGTTTCCCTTTTCACCTCTCTCACCCTTCTGGCCGCTCCCTCAGGTCCGGACTTGTGTATGAGAGGGAGGCCGCCTGCCCTCCGGTCAGCCCGCAGTGAGGACTGGGTGTGGCCGGGGCTCCAGACCCGCTGCCCTGAGGCTCCATCTGGATTGGCTGCAAGGGCCCAACCCGGGACCCAGGGACACGTTTACTATGGAGATTGACCCCCGTTTTACTGCCTTCTGGGGAGCGCTGGGGGCTTTGGGGATTTTTGTATTTGCTGGGCTGTAAATGTTTTATGAGAAGGCAGCCCAGAACAATCTGGTTAGCTTTCTGCCTTGCACGTCGAAGTGGGGTTGGCTTTATAGACAAATGTGTCAGAAGGAGGAGGAGGAGGAGGAGGAGAAGAAGTAGTAGTCCGGTTTTGTCTTTATCCCAAAGAATTCACTTTGGATTTTAAAAGCCTGTTACCCCCTCCCGGACCCCTTCCCCCCCCCCCCCCCCCGCCCCATTCCACATGCCCTAAGTTTTTATTTCTCACCTGTAACTGAAAGATTGATTTCAGGGTTATTTGAAAGCAAGAAGATTGCAGGTTGTATGGGTGGAGGAGGGGAGAAGGTCTGTGTGTGTGTGTGTGTGTGTGTGTGTGTGTGTGTGTGGTGTTCTCTCAGAGCGTCTATTTCTTATTAGGACCTTCTGAATGGATAGATGCCTGGTGCTTTTGTTTCTTCATTTCCTACCCTCCTTCTACACTCTCAAATGAAAAACGACTTCAGAAAACCTCATTGGTCTTTTGCTTTTTTTTTTTTTTTTAAATGGTGAATTTAAGAGAGAAAGAAATCACTTAACTCTTTATTCTGTGCGCTTTGCATTGGGTCCAACGCTTCAACAAAACTGCCTGATGGGCAACAACTTCCCCCATCCCCAACCCCAGGCCACAGGGGGTCTAAGCTAAGACTGCACCTTTAAATAATACTGGAGCTTTAAAAAAGCTACCGCCACCACCACCACCAAAAACCCCCCAACAAGACCCCAACACCCAGGCCCAGTCCGCAGATACTGATTCCGTTGTCTGGAGCAACAAGCCCAGGCAGCTGGTAACTTAGGTTCTAGAAAGCCTAGATGATCCTAACGGGGCTGCCAGAGGGAGAATGGCTATTCTAGAAGTTTCTCCCTCCTTGACCTGAAAGCACAGGAGGCCAGGCGGGGCTCTGAGTGCTGCAAATGAGCCAGACGGAACTGGGCAGGGTCCCAGCTCCCAAGGCTGGGCTGGAGGAAGGGGGAGGCGGGCGCGGGGCTGGGGCAAACAGACCGCTAAGGAGAACTATTAACCAGGCCATCGGAGTTAGCACAAAGTGTGGGGAAGATAACGGAGACCGCGAGGGAAGGTGCTTTCGATCCAGGTGGTCCCGGAGGGCCTCTCGGAGGAGGTGACAATTTAAACTGAGACATGAAGGATGATGACCCAGAGCCTGCGGAGAGGAGATATGGGGGGAGGGGGAGGAAAGAGTGCGGCCCAGGTTCGCCACCACAAAGGGCGCATCCGTGGTTTGCTAACCAGCTCCTGGGGGAGGCTGGGGGGGGGGGGGAGAAGAGGATGGGAAGGGGAGGAACAATAGGAGAGGCCGAGGTCGCTCTCCAGCAGCCACCGACTTCCTCCCGGGGTGCCTGGTAGGAGGGGGCCGGCCCCAGCCCGGGTGGTCAGGCCCGCGGCTGGCCTCCGGGCCTCCCGGACCCCGCTCCCCGCCCTTCCCTTCCCTTCCCTTCCCTTCCCTTCTCCCCGGGGGGGGTGGGGGTGGTGTGCAGCCGCTCGCCCAGCCGTGGGGCCCGATCTCCCCCTTAAGTGAAACTGACGGTAATAATAATAATAATAATTATTATTATTATTATATTTTATCTCGCAGACGATCCCCCGCACGCCGCCGCCCTCCGGAGGCAGAGGTATCTGTTTGACGTGTCCACGCTGTCAGACAGAGAGGAGCTGGTGGGCGCGGAGCTGCGGCTGTTCCGCCAGGCGCCGCCCCCGGAGCCCCGGGCCGCCGCGCCCGCCGCGGGGCCGCTGCGCCTGCAGCTGGCCGCCTGCCGCGCGCCCCGGCCGCTGGCCGCGCGCACCCTGGCCCCGCGGGCGCCGCGGCCCGGCTGGGAGGTCTTCGACGTGTGGCCGGGCCTGCGCCTGCAGCCGCGGGAGCCGCTGTGCCTGGAGCTGCGGGCCGCGTGGGCCGGGGCCGAGGAGGAGGCCGCCGGGGAGGAGGACGAGGCCGCCGGGGACGAGGACGAGGACGAGGCCGCCGGGCACCGGGCGCGGGAGGAGCTGGAGGCGCGCGCGCCGGGGCCCCAGCGGCCGCCGCCCCCGGACCTGCGGAGCCTGGGCTTCGGCCGGCGGCGGCGGCCCCCGCAGGAGCGCGCCCTGCTCGTCGTGTTCGCCCGGTCACAGCGCAAGAACCTGTTCGCCGAGATGCGCGAGCAGCTGGACTCGGCCGAGCAGGCGGCGGGCCCGGGCGCGGGGTCGTGGCCGCCGCCGCCGCTGCTGCCGTCGGGCGCCCCGGACGCCCCGGACGCCGCCGCCGCCGCCGCCGGCGCCGCGGGGCCCTGGCTGCTGCCCTCTAGCGGCCGGAGGCGGCGGCGCACGGCCTTCGCCAGCCGCCACGGCAAGCGGCACGGCGGCGGCGGCGGCGGCGGCGGCGGCAAGAAGTCGAGGCTGCGCTGCAGCAAGAAGCCGCTGCACGTGAACTTCAAGGAGCTGGGCTGGGACGACTGGATCATCGCCCCGCTCGAGTACGAGGCCTACCACTGCGAGGGCGTGTGCGACTTCCCGCTGCGCTCGCACCTCGAGCCCACCAACCACGCCATCATCCAGACGCTGATGAACTCCATGGACCCCGGCGCCACGCCGCCCAGCTGCTGCGTGCCCACCAAGCTGACCCCCATCAGCATCCTGTACATCGACGCGGGCAACAACGTCGTCTACAAGCAGTACGAAGACATGGTGGTGGAGTCGTGCGGCTGCAGGTAGCGGATGGCCCGGTCCTGCCGCCGCCGTGACCGTGGCCCGTGACCGTGACCGCAGGGGAGGCCTGACCTGCAGCGTCAGGAGAGGAGCTGGCCTTGGAGGCGCAGGGGTGCGGGGAAGGGAGCAAGCAGCCTGGACGTGCAGCGTGCTGTGCCCCGATGGGAGGAGAGAGGAGGGATGCCCAGCCTTCCCAGAACCTTTCTCCCCTGCCAGCCCGGAGGGAGAGACGGATGTTCACACACACACCCCCCACCCCACCCCACCCCCGCCTGCCTGGCCGCCCTGAGAAGAACAAGCCGAGGAGGAGGAGATGGATGCCTGCTGTAGCGTGTTGTGTTTCTGTGATCCTGGCTTTGGAGTTCCGAGTGTGTGTGTGTGTGTGTGTGTGTGTGTGGTGTGTGTGTGTGTGTCTCACAGGTTTGGGGAGGAGATGGAGCAAGGGGAGACACGTGGCTGTTTCTCAGCTGCTTCGTGGATTGGAGAGAGAGAGACAGAGACAGAGAGAGAGAGGAGAGAGAGAGAAGAGAGAGAGAGAGAGAGAGAGAGAGAGAGAGAGAGAGAGAGAGAGGAAATAATTGAAGAAGAGAAGCAGAGTGGGAGGGAGAGTCACCACCTCTGTGACCACATCTTGGCGTGAGGGTGTCTTTCTGCCACGGCCCGGCCCACGCCCTGTGACCTTGGTCCCAAGCAGAGCATGTGAGAACAGAGGAATTGGCACCAGGCGTAGGGAAGCCAAGGAAGGCCTTGGAGGAGCGAGCGCTGAGAGAGGGAGGCGTTCCCGGTTCTGTCCTGGCCTCCCCCAGCGCGGGGAGCTGGCAACCTGCACCCCAGGCCAGCGGCTCCGGCCATGCTGCCTTCACAGTGGCCCTTTCTGGTGGGGAAGGGGAGCTGGTATGGATGGAATGACAGGAATGAGTCGGAGTGGAAGCCCCTGAGGACAGTGAGAAACCAGAAGCCCTCAGGTGCAGGAGCCCTGGCTGGAGGGAACCTGGGAGAAGCCCCTCCTGGTGTCCGTTTCTCACTGATTTCTTTGAAGGGAATTTCCCAGAATTCAGACATCTGCTTTTAAGGGGATGGCAATTTCCCCAGTTAAACAAACAAACAAACAAACAAACAAACGAAAAAAATGGGTAAGGGTGGGGAACTAGATAGCCAAGGTAAGAGGTGCAGAAGGAAAAGGACCCCAGAAATAGAAGGGTGAGGTGGTGGGTCCCAGAGGAGGATGGGGAGAAGGGGCAGGCCCGGAGCAGAGAAGAGAAGGATGAAAGGTGATGCGAGTCCCCCGTCTCCGAGTTTCTTTAAAAAATCTGTGTTTCTTCCTCTCTGCCTGTGACATTCCTGAAAGATTACCAGCCAGCAATAGCCCAGGGCTCCCCTCAAAAGAATTGTTTCAGATTGTAATTACCAGTTAGGCAATGTTTTTAAAGCTTTGTAATGAGAAACTGTGAAAAGAGCAAAGTGTTACATGGAGCTTGGGGTGGGTGAGGGGAAACTTGGCGGTGAGGAAGGAGGCAGGGGTGGAATTCTCTTCAGGAAGGAAAAGCCCTAGAGAGCACAGAGCAGCTGAAATGCCGGCTCCCAGAGGGTCAGAAACCGAACTTTCCCCCCAGCCTGCACCAGTGTTATTGTCAACACCGCCCACGAGTAGGCCCTCTGAAAAGTCTGCTTCCTCCTCGTCTTTGCCCGTGAAACCAAACGTGTTGTTTTTCCAAAGTGGTTTTGCTCTCTCTGGATCTAAACCTGTTGCCTGTTTTGTTCCGAGAACAACATGTCAAAGAAAGGGTGAGAATGATAGTAAATGCTAATATAAAATGCTGATTAAAAAAAAAAAAGAAGAAGAAAAAAAAAAAGACTTGGCCAGGAGAAATAATTTAAAATGCACATTTGCTTCGGATGCACTGTTGATCTGTTAAAGACTGTATATATTTGTTTATTTAAGGTGACTGGAAATGCAAAGAGGAAATGGACAGCATGCGATTCATCTTAATGTAAAAAACGTTATATGCACTCAAATGTTATAATGTCTAATATTTTTAAAGTTTATATTCGAGTTGTACAAAGTTAAACATTAATCAGATATTTCATTCTTTCTTAATGTTATCGCTTTCTTAAATATTATTACAAAAAATTTTTAAGTCTGTCTAATGGAGAGTTTTTGTTTTTGTTTTTGTTTTTTTAACTGTCTACCTCACTATAATACAAGTATTTACAACACTAAAGTTACCAGAGATCAATTTAATATTCAAAAGATTTTTTTTTTTTTTACAGTTTTCTTTTCCTGGGTGATACTCCATCTAATACTGTATTATTAAACTCATTTTCCCCTTTAAAAACTCAGCCTGGTTTATATGGATCTACTTAGAAAAATTACTTGGTCAAGGAATTGTTGTCGGCGGTATTTTGTTCCAGTAGGAGACTGAATGCCTGCGAAGACACTGGTTCCTTTAAGAGCCATCATTGAGGGCATGGCACTTTTTCTTCACAGCTCTTCCATAACTCTCTTTTCACAAAATTTTCATCCATCCAACCCCTCTCAGCTATCAGAACGGTGTTCATAGGCCTTTGCCCCATTTCGGCATCTCAAGAGCCCACGTAGGAACTGGAGTATTTCTTGGTGTCTTTAATGTTGAAAAAAGAAAGCTGTAAAATTACCCAGGGCCAACTAAGATGTCGGTAATTACTGTTTACACGTATGGCCTATGGGAAGCCCAAGATATGGAATGTTTTTCTGCTTGTTCACTTGCTGTAAAGCAGGGAATCCATGTGCGACTGTAATCCCGAGTGCTCACTGCAGGATGGGAATACTGTTGCCCACGCATGATCTCATTCACACCCCCGTGAAACCCAGTGAGGCAGGCGTTCTGATAATTCCCGCTTCACAGATGAGAACTAGGTGCAGGGTTTAATGAACCGGTCATGGTCATCCAGCCAGGAAGCAGTAGTTAAGATTTAAACCTAGTTCTTTCACACCCTAGAGCCCAAGGGGTTAACCTCTAAATAATTTTGCCCACAGACCATCTATCTATCTGCTCTGTCATGGGTCCTAAATGCCAGGGTGAGAAATTTGCAATTAGCCACGATGATTGGGAGCAGCCAGCTGGTGGAGGAGAAGCTGCCACAGGGGCCTCCAGCCTTGTTGGTGGTTTTGGAATACATGCGTTGTGGCTGCTGGGATAGTTGGGTGTGGATTGCAAAACTCAGTGAGTGCTCTGCTTCAGGCTTGCTTTGAGAAGCCTATAGGTTGGGTCATTGATGAGTTCCTGGGTTTTGTTTTGATAATCAGAATAATGGTCAATTTACAAAGAGGTCATATTTCAATCGTTGTAAGTGGGCTGTTGATAGCTGAGAAACATTTTTCTATGGAAACAATGCTCATTTGAATTTACAGGTAAAAGCTTTTTTTTAAAAAAAAATCCAATTGGAACTTTTTCCCCCCTTCCAAATCTTAAAAACAAAGCAATTTTGACTTCTGGATTTGGGAAACAGATAATCACTGGGAAAATGAAAAAAGAGGTCTTTCTCTTTCCTGAGTGGAGGAATTCTTTGCATGTTTGCACCACTATTTCTGTACCACTCACCTGATCCCCCCATCCTCCCAACTGCCGGGAAGATGCCCAGCCCTGCACCCTAATATGTCCTCAATCTAGAGATTACCCTTTCTGTAAATGTTTCTGTCTCCAAAGTTGTTTTCTTCTCTTCCCTCCATCAAAAGTTTATTCCTAACTCAGATGTAGGAGAAACACAATTTAATTGAAGTACATGAAGATGTAACTAACTCTTAGCTCTTCAACCTTGGAGACATTTGCATTTTAAGAAAACAGTTAATTATGGATAACTCAGATTGTGAGTGATGTGAAAAAAATTAGACAATATAGGAGAAGATAACACTCAAACTGCACACAATTTTGAGAATTGTATGAGAGTGAGGCGTTGATGATACAAGGATGAATGGAGACCCTCGTCAATATGGTTATTTTGGTGTTCCTTAGGGGACATTTTGTGCATTGAAGTGACTAGCTAACTTGTTTTAGCATTAATATGCAGCGTATAAAAGTAAAACATTTAATAACTTAGTTTTTATCTAAAACTCTTAAGTTTAATGAATATAGGCCCCATACATATGTTTTTCTTGTCCTTGTTTTGTTTATTACTACATTCCTAGCATCTTCTGCACAATAGTGTCCAACACATAGCAAACAATAAATATGCTGAGTAAATAAATTTAGAAATATGTTTTTTTACTTATAAGGTACCTAGGCATAAACCTAACCAAGGAGGTCAGTGACCTATAGTTGGAAAACTATAGGATATTGAAGAAAATAGAGTAAGATACAAACAAGTAAAACCATATAGCATATTTATGGATTGGAAGAATTAATATCATTAAAATGTTTTTACTACCCAAAGCAATCTATAGATTCAATGCACTTCGTATTAAAATACCAATGCCATCGCCGAAACCGGTTTGGCTCTGTGGATAGAGCGTCGGCCTGCAGACTGAAAGGTGCCGGGTTCGATTCCTGTCAAGGGCATGTACCTTGGTTGCGGGCACATTCCCAGTAGGGGGTGTGCAAGAGGCAGCTGATCAATGATTCTCTCTCATCAACTCTCTATCCCTCTCTCTTCCTCTCTGTAAAAAATCAATAATAAAAAAATATACATGTAATTAAAAAAAATAAAATACCAATGCCATATTTCACAGATCTAGAAAAAATATTTTTTAAAAATTACATGGAACCAAAAAAAGACCCTGAATAGCCATTGGAATCAAGATAGCCTGGTACTAGGATAGGAACAGACATAGATCAATGGAACAGAACAGGGATCCCAGAAACCGACCCACACATTTATGGTTAATCAGTATTTGATAAAGGAGGCAAGAGTGTACAATGGAGTAATCACAGTCTCTTCAATAACTGGTGCTGGGAAAGTTGGACAGGTACATGCAAAAATGAAGTGAGACCACCAACTTACACCATACACAAAAATAAAATCAAAATGGATAAAAGACTTAAATGTGAGCTGTGAAACCATAAAAACCCTGGAAGAAAAGATAGGCAGCAGAATCTCAGACACCTTGCATAGCAATATTTTTGTCAATATAGTTCTTAGAGCAAGAAAACCAAGAAGAAAGACAAAAAAAAAAAAAAAAAAAAATGGACTACATCAAACTAATAACTTTTTGTGCAGCAAAAGAGACCATCAACATAATGTGTCCAGCCCATCTCCCCCAGTCCCAATCGGC